TTTTCAGTATTTGTGTGTATAAGTTGCGGTCAAAAGTCATGTCAGTGTCTTCACCTAATAGTTCAGGAAAATAGTTTCACGCAACACTTCCTTACACTCGGTTTAGAAATTTTGGTAAATCACCGGAACTGTAGTAGTTTCACAAATTATGAGAACGATGAAAGACATAAATCATCACAGGAAACTCATTTAATTTAGTTTATTTGTTTGCAGTTGAACAGCTGGACGGCCTTATGCAAGCCTACGTGCCAATCCGTAAGTTCTTCATCTACAGAATTGATGCCACTTTCTGTTGCATATTAATTTGTTCATTATATCCAGAAGACACCACACATTTCGCGTCGTCCCTAGAGGGCTTATCTGAGTGGCTCATGACGCCATCCAGTTGTCTATTTATACACACCATACAGAATTACCAGGAATTGTTACGGTAATGATACAGCTGGCTCGCAGTTGATTGGCGCTTTCTGTGAAGTATTTTTGAGAAAAAGAACCCGAAAAAAGCTCCGCCTTCGAAGCATACTTCCTTCCAGGCCGTCCCTGGTTACTTATCAACCTGACCGTTTGTCAGCCTATTCCACACTCATGGTTTGAAATGATTTCAAGACTCTTCTCAAAACCGTCAGTAATCCACGATCAACGCAGATGAAGCGAATGATCTTTGAGGACGGCAAGGAGCACTATAGTGAATCTCACTTACCAACATAATCTAGGGGAGTTAAAAACCATGCTATCTTGGGCATTCTCATTTATATTTCTGTGATATCCGGCACGCAAGTTCGTTGAAAATTACGGACTTGAATTCGGGACAGAATATGTTAGTACATCTCCAGCGAAATCTCCAGATGGAACAATCGTCACTCATAAGCTGCACTTTTCGTGACCTTCAAACTCTTTTTTGTCAGCACTGCATCTGCCACACTCTGAGGGGAAATTATGTAGAAAAATAAACCCTGACAATTGGGTCCACTTATTATGTCCATTTCTTGAGACCTCTCTTTGTTTCAAGCGGAAACTCATGAGGAT